CCTCCACTTACTGTAACTGGTGAGACGACAGGATTGGGCCCAAATTTCCCTGCTATGGATGATAGCACCACACAGCTCATGCCTGCCATTCGTCACGATCTGGACCTGGGAAACCTTGATATTCCCGCTTTTGAGGCTATGGTCAAGAGCCTGTCCTGTGCTAAGCCAGATGAGATTACGCTGAGGCAGTTGGATGTAAGTACCGGCTTATGCATAAAATGAACATATTTCCTCTTCTCGTGGATGGAAAGTGTTTGTAGTTAAACATTAGGAAGGTGTGGGTATTCAGTAGCTGTTCAGTCGAAGGAACAACTCGTGTCTTTTGTGATCAGCTCCCATATCTGCCCTCCATTAGGCACAAGTTTTGTAAATGAATCACTTTGCATAACAACAGCTAGGCGCTCTTAGCCGAGTGCCCTTTAGGTATCTAACGAGGTCAATCCTAACCCTAAGGTTCATCCACATAGGAGAGGTTTGTGGTTGAACTAACATGCTTGTAAGCGTCTATGGCTATAGCGAACTATGCCTAATTAGAAGAACACTATTGAAAATTTGGAACTTAAAGTAATCCAAAGAGCTAGCTAGAACGTACAAAAAGCAATCGGGAAATAGTAAATATGCAGGGCGATTTGCCAGCTAGAAGACCCTTTATATGCTTTTGCATATAATATTTTACATGCATATATTATATATGTATACATGTATAATATTGTATGTGGCCAGGACTTTTCAGACGGGCTAGGACTGTATTCAATGATGATCCAATTGGGCATAACTTTGTCGAGAATGCTCATCTTGTTGGATATGGCTGAAAAGTCTGCTGAATGCAACTGATACAGCTTTAGAAAACTTCGTACACTTATTACTAAGCAGCGAGCTGGCATATCGACCAGTTATTTCTACAGTCTTCAATTCATCAGCCAGACCATGCAATTTTAAACATTTGAGACACAGTCAATTTGCACTATGTCTGTAATCCCACCACATAGCACTAACTACGTAAAAGCACAATGTTTTGCGCTACTGACGCACTTCCTTAAATATGACAGTTTCTCCCATTTCTTTTGTATTTATCTGCAGGGTTTCCATACGAGCTCTCGTATTCCCTTGTAGGAAACTGCTGACAGCCTCGATGGCC